TGGTTTTTGGCGTGCTGGAAAGAGTCATTGAACAACGTGTTTATCAGGGAGTGTTGCATTCAACACAGATCGAGGAGGTGAGCTTGATACTGTGCCTCGTATGCGTGGATATGAAACTCCCGAGTGGAGGGTTGTTGTATGGTAATGCAGATTCTCAATAGTGCTATGCTTTGGCGTTCTTGACTCGAAGTATCTGGCGCTTTGTTGATGGCGTATACACCATCGTACTTTAGGCGAGAGGGCATCCAACCCGTAGAGGTGAAGAACCCCGGCCAGCAGGAACTTGTAATCTGAAGTGTTGGACTAGTGTAGTTGTAAACGCAGAACATATGGGGTATACGCCAGCGTTAACGTTGTTCCCGTGTCTGCTTGAACTACAATTTTCCCTTCATGTAGCGTTACAAGTGCATCTGCACTGCGTCGACGCCTGACCATGCACATTGACAGTCAGCCAAACTATCCAGCATCTGCGTGGAAAGGGTCGTGAGACAGAAAATGAATGTCCGACCAAACCTAGGGCCTGCAGCATCAAAGGCAGTGCATATCCAATTTTTTTATCGTCTGCTGAGGAGGCTTCCACTCGTCGTGGGGTGAAGCTTGTAAGTCTTGTTTGCCTCCATCTCGTTGTTTGTATGCTGGACAGTTGTTCATCCTGGAGGGCATCACTTGGTAGTGTGCACTTGAATGTTTTGAATTGCCTTGAGACACAATGGATCAGGCCAACTAGGAGAGCGTCTTCACACCTTTTGTTGAATATGAAAACAGTTCACAATACTGTGCTTTACATCTACTCTTCCGGTGTATTCGAGGACCAATGCCGTAGAGGCAGAATTAACAAAATTTATGCATAGATGCAGAATAAACAAAATTTATGCCTAATGCTAGACTAGAGATTCAACAGTTCAATCTAAGGCCCTCACACCACTACCACTCAGTGGGGGTCTGCGAGCCTTCCTATGAGAGAATTATTTTTGCCGTTATTTTGCCACTGCACTTGTCACTGGATCCGTGCCTTATATCGGCACCTTCCAACAGTTAAACGTCATTGCCGGAATTGTATGGTGTTACTTCCGCATAAGCGTAAGAGAAGAGTGGGATAAGTAATAGGGTTCGGTTTGTGGAGGAGGAGGGCAGGGCTCTGTTTGATGGACGGGAATTGCTCGCTTATGTTCACATAGTGTTTTGCCAACCACGTCGCCACAAGAAGGTCGTCTTAACATTTTGCAATCAATGCGTGTGCAAGCCAATGCCTATCTCACAGCAGAGGTCTTGTAACTTTTGGCGTACTCGGCAGGTGGATGGATCTGGAGCGGCTTTGCACTATTTTACATCTGCGTGGAAAACGTCCTGGGCTCAGCGGAAGCCTGAAGGAGCAACAGGTAGACTTGAGCTCCAAACCGTTAGCAGGCGGAGCTGGCCCATTACGGCATCTGGTTTAGGACGAGGGTGTAAGTCCCCATTGGAGAACAGCTGCCGCTGACATGCCCAGGTTATTGCTCTCAGTCGTCCACGCGCGGGCCTGAGGGGCCATCTGGAAATGCCATTTGACGTTTTGCATATCACATTGCGGTTTCGCCCTTGCTGAACTCAGATTTAGAATGTAGGCTTTTAAGATAGGCAATACTTTTTGTGTGCACGTTGTTTTGACTGGGATGCACGTTCTGGTTAGTCGCCTTTCTGAACGACACTTTTTCCATCTGCTTCCAGTGCGGAGGAGATGCCATAAGAGAGTGCAGCAAAGGAGGATGTTATAATCATAATCGATAACCAACTGCAACGATATGAGTGTCGTTGGTAAATGGTTTTTCGCTCAGATTGACTGTGCGAGTACCAGAATAATTGGAACAGTATCTGCCGTGTGTACTCTCAACACAACTTGCCCTATATACCGTCTGAGGGTAGTTGGGGTTCCATTTTATGTTGTATGAATTACAGAATTGGTGAGACGAAGGAGCATTGCCCAAGTTAACAATCAACCACATCATTACTCATATATGTTGACGGCCAAACACGTCGGTTTCCGTCTCAGAATGGCTGCCCAGGATGCAATTTCGGAGGTTCTTTGAGTTTGGTTAGGATTCCGTAGGGAGGGGGACAATTAGTCTTAGGTGGAAAGGGTAGCTTTCCTGGGTATATGACGTTCGGCTGGCAGCTGTAATTTGGGTGTGATCCTTCGCAGTAGTATTCATGGTAGATGCTGCGCATGTGGTTTGGCGTTTCCCGTAGGTGAATCGGAAAGGAAGTTGGTGCTGTTCTGGAAGTGCCTTACGTATAACTAGGCTCTTGGTCTCCAAAACATAGGAGCATAGCGAATAGGCTTCTCACGCGCTGTCAGCATTACGCGCTGTGGTGCATGATCGTGTCGAGGACCACTGAAAGGACAAGAACCCCTTTAGGTTTCACTATGTGCGGACTCGCCAATCCAGAAAATTTGGTTATCCGTCTAAGGCGCATGAGGAGTATGCTTTTGCAAGTCCGCGCTGATGCACAGAGCATTAACCATGTCTGGGAATCGTGTAGCCGGCACAGTCAAAAAGGTCCACAAATATGCAGTTCAACAACTCACCGTGTGGGGTGCGTCGACCTGTCGATTACACAAGACAACTCATCCTGAGGGGTGTGTCTTGTTTTTGTATGCATCTAAATGCATGCGTTAACGTTTTAAAGACGCGCAGAACTCCTGCGTTTTGTAAAGACAGGCACAAAAACAGCGACCTTACTGTTTTGTGGAGGAGGCTGTGTGCACTACACAAGAGGTTCAACTATGCCTGTCCACGCGATTGGAACCAGGAGAACACATACGAATGCTAAGAATAACTAAAACACTCCTCCTTAAGGCGCACGAGGAGTTTTTAAGGAATTGCAGACACCACACCAGTGGGTTGTCTTTGAGGGGGAACTGGAAGCCTGGAAGGCCTCTGGGTCTGACCGAAAATATGAAGGGCCAGACTCTTTGCACACAGTTTCAGAAAAACACGCTCTCCTTAGCAGCGGCGAGAGTATTAATCACTGGCTTTCGTGTTCTCAATTCTTGCCTGCGAAATCCCTGTAAATCTGCTGCGGAGAAGTTTGGCGGGACCAGCGAAGCTGGTACCGGTTGGGCCTGCGATCTCACAGACGCTCGCTTGGCTTGCACGTGCTGCTGGTTGAGCAGCACAATGCTTGGGGCCATGGGATACACGCTCGGTCGCCGTTGTGTGCGTTTGGCGCGCGCGAGATGTTGCATCGTGAATGCTACATAGGAGCTCATTCTGCGTGCAGCACGTTAATCGGAAGTGAATGCATAGTAAAGCATCGTCAGTGAGTGGATCTAGCTTTAAATGAAGCTAACGTTGATTTGACCGCCAAGTTCCTTTGCAACAGCTGGCTAGATACCGGCACTTACGTTCGTATGCTCATTGGAAAAAGTAGTAAATTTTGGAGGAAACTTCAGGCGCTGACGTGGTAGTAACAGAGGTTGCACTGCCTCCTTCTGGCGGGGACTGCCTGAGCCAGCACCAAACCCGCTCCCTCAAACGCTGCAATCTTTTGATTATTGGCCGCAGCAAGTGAGTATCTGATTATAAAGAGCAATAATTCAGCTCCCTCACTTGGCAGTACGCATTGCAAATGCTCAATCTGTCCTGCTGGGAAAAATGGCGGCTCGGGTTCATTCAACCGACCGCCTTTGACAGGTGCAATTTTACATGAGCGCCCAAGCGCACATGTTCAGGAAAGCCAACATATGTATAAATGAACTTTTAAATATCTTGGAGGTAAGTGACGTTACTGTCACTTCTCCAGCTTTTCCAACAGTATTATGCCCCTTGTTGTGAGAGCTAATGGCACTGCCAAGGGGAGGCGTAGTGGGGGACAGCCATTTAGGACTATAACTAAAGACATAGAACCGCAATCTGCTAGTGTTTCCACAAATGGCCTCTTGACCAACCCCATACAACAAATACGTGCAGTTGATATGCGTTCATTCCCTTCAAGCAGCATTGTGCTCTACACTGCGAAGACTGCTGGTAGGCAATACTACAATAGGAAACCTGGTGTAGATATGGTGGCTAGGTTGAAGCCAGTGGCTCCCACAGCGATTCAGCTCATAACAGTTTGTCCGATTGCACAGGCACTGCACTGCATATTTGGTACCGGCTCCACTACAGCGGAGAATCCAGCTAGATGAATAGGCGATGTGTCTGCCGAGATAAAGTGTACTATTTACCTGTCGTCCCCTACAGGAACAGATGAACTGCGAACTAACTGCGTCAGTCAAGGTATGTTCAAAGCGCGATGTGGAACGCATGCACAGCCAGCGCCTTCTGCATCAGCAAAGGCAGAAACCGCTAACGGGGGTAACGAATTCCTTAGCCAAAACCAGGAATGCCTAATTGACAAAGATGCGACCTTTCTTGAATATTTAAGTATTTGAAACCCTCCGTAAAAGTGGAAGCGAGAGAGCTTGTCTTGTGGTTCGCCTCGGGGGCTTGAGTGGGTCGGCGAGTTGTGTTCGTACTGAGCGTGGAGGCTACGTGCCATCTTCACAATCCCACTCTTCTTTTAAACCAGAGAAACTGGTACTCTAGTTTGCGTTGTCACAAGAGCTTGGCGGAAAGCAACCAGCGTAGGGAACTGGGGGCATTGATTTGTCTGCAGAGCAGAGTCCGCAACGGAGCAGCGTCCTGTCCGTGTCTGCCCTTTTTTTGCTGCAGACGAAAGGCTTGCAAGTGTACAAAAATTTTGCCAAAAACCTAGGCGCATGACTTCGATGGTTGGCTAGGCTTTGTACATGGATGAAGAGCGCAGTACAGCTGGCAAGCTGAAGCTGTAGTTCGGGCTGTGTCGCAGTGCCCAGTCACTGCCTAGGCCTCCTTTCTCTTGGAGCTGCTTCCTGATTCCCTTGGTGATGTTCATTGGGCTCTCTCCTATGGTATGCGTAACGGCTGGGCCCATGCGCGTACGTTGGTGAGGCCCGTCGGTGGTCTTGCTTTGTTTGCCATTGACGAGCCCTTGTGGAGATGGGGGACTCCACAGTCAGCAGTAAACCAGGCCAGGGCAGCTCTCGGGGCAGGGCTGGGCTCACAAGTGTAGGTGCAAACGCTGGCATCCCTTTCCCTTCGGTGGACTCAGAAGCAGAGGAAACGACGTCTTCTCCCGATCGTGCTGTTGGCAGTAGAAGCTTCATCTACAGTAGCACCAGTAATTTCGACGTCAGTGGGTCCAGTTGTGGAGGGTCAGGTAGTAGATTTAACTCTGGAATCACTGCAGGCCATTTCCCTAACGGCTCGCAACAGACCCGTCTCTTTTGCGCCGATCCTCTGCATGCATCGACGATGTTCCCTGGCTCAATCAAGCAGCAGACCCACTCTAATACGCCAGCTGTCCCATCAGGAGAATTAGTTGAACTTTGCAGGGCTTCTGAAGCAGGGGTGGTGGCACCCTTGAGTTGTACAGAGACCGATGTTGAGGAGCAAACGCAGAATCCCTTGCTACAGGGTGATTATCGCAAGCGCAGTGATATTGGTGTCCAAGAGGAAACAGCAGGCGCAGAAGGAGAAAACGGTGGCATCTCGGTGCTCACTTCATCTGCGTCGCGCCGCTGCGTTGGAAGTTGCGTTGGTCCGACGCCGACAGCAAACAAGGGCGTCGAAAATCTTCAAGGTGGCCAGCCAGCTGCAAGCGGACTAGAAACAGGAGCGCCTAGTGGTGGAGCTTCTTGGCCGCAAGCGGAAGGGAGAGCGTACCCGGCGCGTCTGGATGAACTGGTTCTCCTTTCTTTCAATGCGGGACTTCTAGAGTACAAACTTTGCGGCCTACGTGTCTACCAGAATCCCCCCTTCACTCAGCGGCGTCTTCACCACATCCCGGGTATTCCACTTGACTAGTGTACATGACTTCTGCTACCATGGCATTTGAGTTCATGGCCTGCAATTTGTTTTTACCCGTACCAGCCGTTTTGCGCTTCGGGGCACTTTTGTGCGGCTACATATGTGTACTGTTGACACGACAAATAATGTATTTTGGTGCCTGTATGTTGGGTGTATCTTTCTCCACAGCGGCGTTGCTATCCACCGGAGCTGACATCATTTGCTTGCAAGAGGTTTATGGGGACAACCATGCTGACTTCATCGTCGAGAGCACTCGTCACAAACTACCTTTCGTCGGTGAGTCATTTCGGAAGCACGGCGGCTGTCTGTTCAAGGGTTATCTGTTTCATTCCGGAACTGTGGATAATGCCCTTAGTGTAGTATCTAAGTTCACCACCCGGGCGAATTAACTTTGCATCCCACTGTTACCTTTTGAGAAAGATGTTGTCGACTCGGGGCCCTGAACTGTTTCAGGTCGGCGCACGTCTGGTGGTCGCTTCTCTCTTCACAACGGCCTCATGGTCCTCAGCAAGTATCCAATAGTCCACACTCAATTTCACAAATTTGAAGATGTAAGACAGTTGATGATGGGAGCGCTACCACTAGAGTATACGAGGAACAAGGATGAACCCTTGGATTGGTTTAATTTGCGTGGTTTGTCTTGCATTCTCATGGAGTTGCATTATCGCAGAGACATTAGAGGCTTCCCTTTGGACAGGAATGCTGTTGCGACTCCTCTGTGTTGTAATATAGTGTCTATTGTTTTCCTCTTTTTGCAGGTGACGTACATAGAGCGTTGCTTTGCTTCAAAAGGGATGTTGGAAGTAGCTGTAGATGTTCCTTCCATTGGCGTCAGTGAGCAGTGAACCTTAACATATGAAGCGTTAGTAGATGCACTAGAGATACCGGGCTTCTGGCGTTGCCAATTAGTCACCGTTGGTGTATAGCTGTTGCTTGCACAACAACTGCGCTGGTGCTTTGTCTTCTGGGATACCCAGGAGTACAATTGCACCTGTTGCGCGACGGTTGTTTGCTTTTACAGTCGCCATTTTTAATATTCATTTGGCCAGTGGAGCCGTCGATCCCGAGTCCCGCTATGTGGAGGACGTGCGAGCGGCAGAGATACGACAGCTGTTAAAGGCCTGCGACGCGGCAGCAGACAGGGGCCATGTTCCTCTTGTAATCGGGGACCTCAATGCAGGTGGGATAATCGCCTTTTGGCTGCACACGTGTTTTCTGTAGGAGGTTATGCATACCCTGAATGCGTACAGTTGACATTTAAACTGTTTCGAGCACGATAGTACTGGGTAGTGCCCATAAGTGTGCGTCATGATTTTGCTGGTTGAGTTCCTTCTTTGTCTTTTGCGCAGCTCCCCATTTATGCGCTTCGAACTACAAATGCTTTGTGGAGCGAGGCTGGCGGGATTGCTGGTTGCATGTGCACGGCCACCAGCGCCACTTGCTGCAGCATCATTTGCTGCACCAGCAGCAGCTGTTGGAAGAACAACAGCTAGATGATCAGGGAATAGAACTACACGACCGGCATATTCGCAGGGATTTGTTCGTGCGCGTTAGGAGACAGCGGCGGATGAAGTTGAGAAAAGGCCCCGAGCTGGAGGCGCTGCAACCGCCGCCCCAAGTTCCACCTCAAGTGACACAAGAGCGCCACCCCAGCAGTTCCCAGGCTACCTCCCCACGAGTTCCCACAATGAGCTCTGATGCAGACTCCAGTGATGCAGAGCGTGAACAGAAAAAACAACTGTTGGGGCAGCGAAGCAGGCAAGGGGGTTGCCCTTCACGCAAGAGCGTCGGATCCCGGGATCAGTCCACTGCTCTAAGCAGCAGCACAGGGCAGCCAGAGACCAACACCTACTGTGGAGGTATTACTAACTATAGCTCGAATATGGAGGCTGGGCGTAGCTCACCTGCGGATACTAGTCGTGATTTTTCTCGAGGGGGGTCGCTAGAGCTGTGCAGTAATAGCTCAAGCGATGCCACTGCTGCAGGACCGCGCAAACCCCGAGGTAGGAGCAAAAGTGCTTTGGGGGGACGCATTGACGATGATGAAGAGATTCCGGCTGCAAGAAGTTTACTAGGTGGTTATTTTGGCAGGGCAGGGGGAGGCGTCCAACTTCCTCTGGCTTTTGAGCTCCCGGCTGCTGCAGCTTGGGCGCATCGGGAATTTTTCCTGACGGCGAAGCGACGGCTGATTGAGCAGCAGCAGAAGTGGCTTGGTGGAGGGGACAAAGCCCCTGTGCTGGATGTCCGTCTCTCACTTTCTGCTCCGCACCACAACCAGCGGGGCGTAGATGCGACCCCCCTTGCTAGTGATTGCTCCCTTGCGTCATGTAGCACAGCGCTCACTGCGGCACGCAGTGGTGATATAGCTTTAGTGCCTGCGAAGGCCTGGCGCTCTGGATTTCTTGCGCCAGCCCCAGTGGATAACCCTTTGTCTAACGATGGAGCGGATGGCACAGTTGCTGATTGGTTGCTTTCCGACACGGACGAAGAGACGGAGCCTGGAGAAGGCCGTGACACCGTCATACAGTGTGCGCCTGATGAGGAAAGAGCATCTTCACCTTCATGCTCAAGAAGAGACTTCACATGGGACCCAGAGAACCCCCTCAACTCTATCGGGCCACACGCGGGTTGTCACGGACTGCGCTGCGATTACGTATTCTTGCCTCCCCACCAGTTTGCTGGGGGCTTGTATCCCTTCCTTCCAGTAGCTGCGGACATCCTGATGCGGGACCCTCGTGTTCTAGTTGATGCGTGTTGTTTCGGGTGCTTCGGAGAAGTGATGCTCGTGACACTGAGTGATCACTACGCTGTTCGCATTACCTTGCGCCGAAGCACGGACACAGATATTGCCGACTTCTGGGGCTCCTGTGCTGCGGAAGCGGCAGCCCTTCGCTCTGCTGCATCAGCAGGGGGCCAATCAGCTGCTGATCACGCGGCTAGCCTGCATGCGAAGGACTAGTGTGCTGTGCTTATGAAAGCCGGCGGCAGTTCAGGTTTGTTCAGAATTGTGGGTGAAGTGGAGCAGGCACGTTTGCAACCGATGGTCTTCAGCGTGACGACTGTGGTTGTTTTCTTATTTGTTGCCTCTGCCCAGGTTCTCGCGTGATTTTTGCTAGTTTTGGTACCCCAAGCATATCGGCGTACCGCTGCGAACAGTTGACAGCTTCCTGGACGCGTTGGTGCAATTGCTGTCACCACATCGCAGACCGCAAAGCAAAACCAGCTACTTGCCACTTACAGACTGCGAATATGTGTAGCTACCCTTCCCACCGAATAGCATATGTACAGTCATGATTCCAAGATGACGGAATTTGGAGGGTACATGCTTGCTCGATCATTTGAGGGTACCAGCGTTTAGCTGTTGCTTCAGAGAGAACTTCAAGCGCATCTTCAGAAGATGGCAATTTACTGTCACCTTTGCATAAGTTGGTAGGAGAGCTGCACAACATGATGGTCGAATTTATTAAGGGATTGGCAACAAAATAGCTGAGGAGATTATTCTTTTCTCGATGACAGTCGAAGAGGCCACAGGGAGCTCGTAATTCTCACGTATAACAGGGGGTTGACCATAGAGTCTCAACGGCCCCAAACTTATTTTCGGCTCCGTATATCCTTGTGTCGGTGTAGACCAATATAAGTAACCACATAAGATAATCTGTTCTACCGCGCATGAGCAGCTCCACAGGTGCTGCCGCTGCTTCAAGGAGACCTCGTATGTGTTCTTGAGTCTTGGCTGGGCCCAAGCAATGCTCAGCAGCTTACTTATTAACTGGCTTCTGGATGCGGGACGTAATGTTCCCCTATGCTAGACACTGTCATATTGACTCAAGTGCGTAGGAGCCTACCGAGGTTGCGGACCATCCCAACCTCGTTCCTGTACAGCACCTAGGCGCCGCCCGTCTCCCAGTCGGTGGGCATGAGTAAATACTTCTGGTAGAGTCTCCCCAATCCCTTCGAAACTTGTTTTCACTGGTAATTAGCATTATATGCCTGCCTTGGAAGCTGTGATCATGAAGGTTCCAGCTATCAACTGCTCCCCCTTCCTACCAAGTGTATAGAGAACCGCTATCTTGGCCGAAGACCTGCTTGAGACTTATGCAGAAATCCAGACAACAGTCCCCACAAACCAGCCTAGCCCCCCTGCATTTTCCAGGTGTCCTGGAAACAACGTATAAAATGCCTTGGAAGGATGCGGAAAGCAGGCTGTTGGCCACGAGTTGCAACAATCCGGTAGAGGCTGCCTACTGTGATGTGGATGGTTGGCAGTTTGTTACACAGCCGCCAGCACAACAAACAATTTGTACAAGAATGCTCAGCCCTCATTTGATGCATGCGCTAATGCAGTTGATAATACTCTTACGTAGCGGCCAGTTTAGTAACTTGCCAGAGGAGAAATTGAGCCGGGCCACGCCACAATGTGCACTAAGTGTACTAACATCTTGGCCCCGTGGCATTATGTACTGTAGCATGTTTCTAAATCTGGTGAGTATTAGTCTAGGGGAGCTGTCTAGGTGTCTCGCGCGCATCCGGATTCCACGTCGCGCTGTGCTGTATCCATTGGCAGCGCCCGCACCGAAAAGTGGTGAAACGACTCCTCCTCCCCACTCCAGCTTTGGAAATGTGGAAGGAAAAGAGGCTCGAAACTTACAAAGTCTCTAGCCAGCATGCGAGCACTGACAGCATGCAGGAAGGGCTGGAGTAGCATCGGAGGAACAGTCGACACTACTCCACTGGGGAAGAGCTTCGTGTCGGTGTTGTGCCATTTATCAGATTTACAGCGTGTTTAAATGTAATTGAGTGTCTAGCGACGCGTGAATGTTTCCTGAAGGCAGAAGGCCCTAAGGAAGTGGCTTGCGCACAGGTCGATTGCAACGGCACGAACCGTGGGCCGCCGGTGCCTTCTAACACTATTGAACTTCGCTCTTACAGTACCCCTAATTTTCTTCCCATTGTTGTCTATTCATTTGGCCTTATAAAACGTGTTCAGCATTGCGCGGGATCGTCTCTTGGCATCATCCCCGTTCTGCGTGTGGGAGTCCATCCGTCGCAATTGGCAGTATAATCCCATCCAACGTGTGCAAAATTGGAAATGAAAGGCATTATAGTTGGGGTTTTCGTCTTCTCCGTACTCTTCCCTTCCTGGGCTCTTTCAGATGATGCCTTCCCGCTGCCGGATACCCCAGCGGGCAGCACGCAGTTCGCGTATGACAATTTGGAGGCGTTGAGTTCTGGCGGGCCCGATAAAGGGACTTCAAGTAATCTGCGACCTTCACTGGAGTTGAGAAGGCTGTATAACATTAACTCCCCCATGACAATCCCCCGACCTAGAGGCTTCCCCGCACTTCTTGCCAGCTTGGGTCTTCTGGGCCACGCTGCCGTTCGAGCAGTTAAGGACTGGAACACTGTAGCGGTGCCGAGGCCTTATGTTTCTCTTCTACTTGGCAGGGCCAGGTTCGACACGTCGAATCTGGCACTCTTTTCTCTCATAGGGGGGCTCACACTCTTTTACCTTGGGATGAAACGCCGATGGAGAAACCATAAGGAGAGGAACCTCTGGAGGTTGGATGAACTTCTGCGACAAGACCGAGCAAGGGTTCATGCTATCAAAATGGGGATGAGAAGCAAGCTGTAAAACCACTAACAGCAATTAATCTGTCCTTGTATATAGAGCCGCCAACGGACAGAAACAAATCCGCTTGCACTTGGGCACCAGCAGAACACTTAGCTGGAAGGTCAGTAGTGCATATACCCACAGGGAGGCGATTTATTGTGAGCAATGCAGACACAAACTGCTCTGCACTTCGGTGATTCTTCGTCGCACGATCGGTGCCACGTTGTGCCTTGCACATCCCTTGAGTACACAGAAAAGTGTGGCATGTGTGGGGACTTAAGTGTGGCTTGTGCACTATAGCATGCCCTACTACCAAACCCAAATTTGAGTTGTAAGTTCAGTTGTGTCACTGGATCTGTTCAGCAGCCTTTGAGCGCCCCATCGTTTGGGGGACTGGGGGAGGCACACCCATTCAGCTGGGGGTCCCAAAGGGGAACCGCAAACAGGGAATTCCATTCCTTGTCAGCCCCGCCTATCCCAATGTTCTTTTTTATGAAAACGTGAAGAATAATGAAACAACCGGGAACGACTTGAACTCGCGGTCCAACGCTGTTCGACGAAATCAAGCGTTCCCAGTAGGGGGTGGTCATTTCCCATAGGGCGTCCATTTAACCTTTTCTAAAGGAATAAATGCTCCTTTTCTATATGCTCAGAAGGCAAGTAGCTGCACATTGGATCTCACGTGAAATAGTTCAGGCTTGACTTCTTCTTAGCTTGAACTGCAGCAATACCCTGGACAAAGTCCTCGTGCTGTAGCTCGGAGGCGTTGCGACGAAGTGCGATCATTCCCGCTTCAACACAAACGGCCTTGAGCTGAGCGCCGTTGAAGTCGTCTGTACTCCTAGCTAGCTCCCGGAAGTTCACGTCTACGCACACCACAAGGAGAACTCATTTCTGTGCTTTACGCATCCACTGCCACACATGTTCATTTGCTGAGGATCGAAATCCTCAGCAACGGAATGAGGCATCTTGGGCCATGCATAAGCACTGCACTGCTGGGAGACCGGCCAGTACCCAACTTGAGCGGTACCTACCCGCCTTGTTTACGGTCATCTTTCGGGCGTGAATTTGCAAAATTCGTTCTCTGGCGTCTTCGTTGGGATGAGGCAGTTCAATTTTCCTATCGAGCCTCCCAGAACGGAGCAAAGCGGGGTCCAGCACATCCGGCCTGTTCGTTGCTGCAATAACCTGCAAAAGATGAACAGGCCGAAGGCACAGCGCATACTACTAGCCACTGACTTCACGACTTCGACTGAACACGGCAATGTTAGTTAGAAAGTTAAAGGGGATCTGGTAGTTGTATAACCCTAAGATGAATACGGCTGTGCGAACCCTGTACCACTGAACCCCCGTCCACGACTTACTTTGATGCGGTCGTCGCTGCTGAAGCCATCCAGCTGGTTAAGGAGCTCAAGCATTGTACGCTGGACTTCACGATCTCCCGATAGCTCACTATCAAAACGCTTCGTCCCGATGGCGTCGAGCTCATCTAAAGGCAACCAACATGATAATGCCATACTTGGAAGGTACACAAGGCCAGCATAACTACCAAATCCACAATACCTCCCCCCTATCCCCCTAGGAGTAGGCTGTAGATGGGAACGCATGCATGCACACTTCGATGCTGGGAGGCAAAGCTAAATCATGTCAAGAACCAACATACCAATGAATATGATTGCAGGCGCTTTCTCCTTCGCCAGTTCAAAAGCATCGCGGACCATCTTTGCACCATCGCCAATAAACATCTGGACGAGCTGCGGGCCCGCCAACTTCAGAAACGTCGCCTTTGTCTGCAAAGGCACGCACCAATACGTGAGGTGTCTTACACCTCTTGAGCAGCTGAAGTTTTGATACTACGCATAGTGCGCCCGTCGCAAAAGTCGTTATGCATGCAATGACGTGTATACGGGGGAAAAGCTGGAACAGCACAACGAAGCATAGGGCGTGGTCCGTTGTGGACGCAACGACGTCCACTACGGAAGCTTAAGTCTGCTTGAAACGAAGACACAAGCCAAATACTCAATAGCCAGTTAACGCTAGCAATCATATATATTCAGGCACACTGTGCTCCAGCTATTCACAAAATGAGTGGCTGCAAGGCGGAGAGTACCTGAGCTGCGCATGCTCTTGCGAGAAGGGTCTTCCCGGTTCCAGGCGGCCCATACATCAGAACTCCTGAGCCGGATTGCACACTGCTTCACAAAATATTTGCAGACGGAAGGTTGACCAAATTACCAGTCGAGCTACAGTCGGAAAACAAATACACCCAGAAATTTTGGTGAGGCCACTTCACGTGAGAGAAAAGTTGAAGCTGCAAAACATGCCAAGGGCCATTTGCACCAAGCGAAGCTGACCTTTTGGTGGCCGAATGCCGATTTTATCAAAACGTTCCTTGTGCGTCATGGGGAGAACTGTGAGACATACACCGCTTCAACCACACTGAACAAGTGTGTGTTTGTGTATGTGTGTCTACGTTTTTGGGTAGGTGCCTGCATATGAGCGTTTTTTCGTTGTTGGTTTTGCAGATTTTAGCTGATAGTGGAAACACAAAAGCCCTTAACTCTACCCTGCTACTCCACAAGTAGGGGGATTCCCCTTCCCCAGAATGGCTAATGGCCCCCTGTCTAGAGATTCTGTTCGCTGGAAATTGACTGTGTGCTGCACCGACCAATGGCTTCAATTAGCTCCTGAATCTGTTTGTCGAGACCCCCAACATCACTGTACTCCTCTGTGGGTCGTTCGTCAACCTCCATTGCCTTTACCCTGGCGTCATACTCTGCAGGAAGCTTGTCCAGCACCAGGTACGAGTCCTTGTTGACCCCTACCTGCAGGTCACAAACTCTTGATCCCACGGCCTGAACAATAAGGCCTAAACTCTTCACCCCTAGTCCCTACTAGAACACGTTTACAGAATTCACAGCAGGCGTTGTTCACAACGGGCGTGGAGCCGGATACGGTGGTCACGCTACTGCAGCCGCAGAAGAAAACTACATGCAGGTACGCACCAAATCTCCAGGCTTCAGTTGATCTGCCTCCACAAGGCCAATGACGGGGAGAAAGACGGTCTAAAGCGCCCACAACGCAGCACATACCTGCCCCCGAACTAAAGTCAGCATGCAAACAGCAGCGCTTTCTTCCTCAAAACAGATCTTAAAATTATCTAGCTCTCTCATTTCCTTGCCTGTCTTGTAGAGGTCTTGATAACGATGCATTTCCCCTTTCGTTGCAGGTCAATGTCGGTGGCCGCCCCGTCCTCCTCTCCTTCCTCTTCATTATCAAACAACTGGAATACACAAATGCCAATTCCACAAATATACACATAATTTCCCATTACCTAGATTTCAAGGCATCTCTGCTGCTATGCCTGGTAAAACTGCAGACGTCAACCCGCAAGCAAATCCAGAAATGCACGCGGAGACTCACACACACGCACACACAAAGTTGACGAGGAAACACGCAGCATACTGGGTGAGGTGGTACCACTTGGCAGACAAAACGTCACTGCAGATGAACCTCAATCAACAGTTGCGAGCATGGTGCTGCTCTGCAGTGCACTGTACAACTACTCTCACCTCAACGACGCTGCCGACGAGATAAGGCAGTTGTTTGTTCAGCCGGATCTTTTCGATTGCCTCTTTGATCCTCTCCTGAAGAGCACACGACCACACAAACAAAAACCGTACATACATTGAGGGGTATTCAAGCAGCTGCCCCACAAGGCAGGCTACAATCGTAGTTCCACCTCTACGACGAAGCATATCCACAGCTGCACATGCAGTATGCGAAGGTAAGGACTCTTCCCATTTTCTCAAGCGCAATGGTTTCTCAAAAGCACGCATTCATATGCTAAGATGTGATTGAAGCCACAAGTGAACTGCTTGTATATAATACACCTATAGATTGGGCACCTGCATATTGTTCAGTTCAAATTTGAGCTTGTTTGCTTCACTCTTGAAGTACTTGAGCTCCGAATCAACTAAAGATGTCCTCATCCGCAGTTCTGCAGCCGTAAGATTGGCGACCTCAGCGGTCACACCATCTTCTTCTCCCCAAACCTCTGCTGAATCCATTTCGTGCAAGTATGGCGAATGCGGTAAAGCGAGGTGAGCGAGAGACGTGCAGCACACACCCGCACAGCACCCGCGTCGCGCGGGCTCAATTCCTGTTTAATGAAACCGCAGATGGTGGAGAAAGACTGAGTGGAATTGATGGCTCCTGTGCTTTTCGCCCCTGTGCTGTGTCTTCTCCTATGCTACTGGGGACGCAAAAACAACGATGTATGTCGATATGCCACCAACGACAGACCAACTCTGCACAGGGATCTCCAAAGAGCAGACCGATATAACCCAAGATAGAAGATAATGCGGATTTCTTCAGAAACGTAGAGGACAAACGACACCCCGACCGGCTTTTCGCTGCATGCAACAGCCGCGACCGCCAGACAAACAGAACAATGGTAAATGCAAAAGTAAATGGCCCACGAACCCTGCGGCTCAGGTAAACTTAAGCTAATATACGGCAAAAGGCGATGTAGTGGCACCAGCAACAGCAGCAGTTGAAGCAACAACAGCGCCAGCTACTCCAACGGTAGCCACCACAGTCGACTCGTGTACTGCTCACAAACTGTCGTCTGCGTTGCCTGAGACCCTTCCAGGTAAATTAACAAATAAAGGTATTTAAATGATGCTTGTTGTTTGACTGAAGCCCTGTACCCGTACCTGCTGCTTCTACTCGTTTTCCTATCCGTTTCCGTTCCACGCACGCACAGCCGCCCAAGGGCGGCTCACGCAAGCCTTACTATCAATGGTAACTCCCTATGCACAAACAAATAATCCTCATGTATGCAAGAAAACAGTGCCTTAGGGATTAATAGCCAAGGGCCTTACATTTAATGTATACGAGGTGGTGCCACTTTCTAGGAAGTGCGGCGCGCCCTGTTTGTGAACGGTAGATGCCGTTTGCAGAGTGCAAACAGTGGGAAAGGCCATTGATGCATAACTCGAACATACATACTTTTCCACTCATTAGGAGGTTCTCTTTTTGCAGGAAAAGATTGCAGCTGTAGGCAACGCATCATCATCATCACAATTAACTGGCCTCATAGCGCCCCCCTATAACTAGAATCAGTGGCATAGAGGACAGATAAGGGCCGTTTCAGTTTAGGAGCAGTAAGCTTGAAACAAACTGTATATGTCAAACAGCAATGTTGAAAGATCAATTAAGCTTTAGTGAACTTCGTTGGTGCTGAGGGTGTGTCTAGTAGTTGTATGTGTGGCGTATGTCCATGCTGGTTACAAAAAGCAAAATAAGATGGTTGGCTACAGCGCTTCCGACTAGTCACGGATCCAGGGGACTCCCGGGTGTATTGCTGTCCCCGAGGTAGCCGTACCACCAAACGAGCTATGAGAGTCGCGGTAGGCCGGCGCCCTCCTGCATCTGCTGGGTGACCCATTGTGATGCTCTCCTTGGAGATAGATAGACAAAAGGTGCCTGTTTATTACTAAGACGCTTATGCATCAGCATAATGGCGAACCAACACAAACTTCTTATTAAGGACTGCACCGGAAGACGGGAATGTTCATACCTGCCCTTGTGGGCATCCCACCAACCCAAGTGGCATTTCATCGAGCGTATCACTATCCTAGGAGAGTCCTTAAAACTGTGCGTGTAGGCGAGAAGCTTGGTGCACGATTTATCGCAGAGGGGCCTCTCCCTTGTCTCCGTGTTCCACAATGCGTATGGAAGTGGTAATTGCCAATGTGCACCTGCAGTGCATTGCTGTTCAGAGAAACTGCCGGGGATTCTGCAGTGAGTTGCTTTACTGCAGTTCAGCTATAAATTACAACATGTGGAGCTCCAGTCGGAAGTATAGCAGACCGCAGGCCGTCAACACCGCTTTCATCTTCAAGTCCGATATGCTCAGGTCTGTTATGTATAGCTTGGCAACTGAAACCATGCACTTCGGTGTATCCAGACTCCGTTGGTCTGCGAACCTTTGTTTCGCAATTCAAGTGGACCCACACCAGGTTACATGTTCTCAGAACTGCTTCCATGCACGGTATGTAGGTAATTCGAGTCACCTTGTACTGCGTCGGCGAACAACACCGGCAATCATAGTCGTGAAACTATGGAAAAAAGATGAAATGCATAGTTACACATGCGCCTTACATGGTGGTATACATTGCAAACGGAAGGGCTCCACATGCCCTCCTCCAGCCACGGAAGTCAATCGATGGGTGCGATCCGGGCAGCGAACATATCACCCTTACAGATGCAGGTAGTGCCTAGAGCCGCAACTACCGTCCGTCCAACTCTTGAAGTTCGGTGCTGCGACAGCTGCAGCGTTGCATGACATCGGGTCCTTACAATTCCTTATGCCTCCTCAGGCCCAGTGCAATGCGGAGGTTCACAGTAGCTGCGCATATCCATAGTGCATGAGTAGAGTGCAGCGTTTCCAGGTCATACACGAAAGAAAACAGCTGGCTGGCTGCAAGTGAGTACTATCTTTACATTCCGCAGTCCTGTTGCCACCAAGGGCGGCAGGTGGCCGGAATCTTAATAAGTTGATCTTCTGTGTTTTGTCTTCAAGTAGTGGCAAACACATTCAGGTCTATGTACGTACACGGCCGCATGCAAATAATGTGTTGGCAGGCACGGAGCCTGCTCGCTTGATGTCCACTGCATGTTCGCACCTGCTTCCGCACAGTTTGCAGAGTTCAGGTCAACGAACAGAGAGGGAGTTTGTACACTATCTGCCTGTGTAAAACAAGAGGCTTTGCTTGAGGCGGCATTACGCGTAGAAGTCAGTCAGTTTTGGCAGCATCGCTCGGTGGTTGTGGCCTGCTGCTCATTTTATCTTGAGAATTAGTTGAGTTCTCCGCAGTGCCTGAGAGGTTCGCATGGGCCTGAGCAGAAGGCTGAGCACGGTTGCCGCCCGGCAGCTGAGAGCTGTTGTCCTTCTTTTGTCTCAGACCCAGCGTCCCTTGCAGGGTATCCTTGATATTCGTGAGCTCGAAGTGATTATCGTTTTTCTTTTTGCCCTTTTCTGCCTGGCCCTCTTCGCATATTTCGGACGCCTTCAGTGCAGCCACATCGTCCATATCCACGTCCAAGTCCAGCACCCCTAAACCATCACCAGAACCGTGCCCACCCTGCAAAGCGCGGGGAGCAGCAAGTAACGAAGAATTAAAGGCAAGGAACCAAATGACAACACCGTAGCCACCAAAAGAAGATACAGTAAACAAGAAAAGGGCAAACACGGATCACTTTATCCGTGCACACACTCTGCGCTTGGGTACACTAGCGGCTTTACATAGACCTCAGAACAGCTGATACACGCATGAATGCTAGGCCCATCACGGCCTCCACGCAACGTGCAGCAGAGCAACCAGCTGCGCGGTGAAGCTGCCCTTCAAAATAAGAGCGGCTGCGTTCAACCAGTTTGAATACACACATGAATCAACGTACGAGACACAGAGAAATACAGGGAGAAGCAAACAGAACTTACCCTGGTTGTTAAGGCCCGTTTCTCCAGGAAAGGGTCGCTACCTCTTCGCCCTCGATCAATCAGTTGAGCGAGCGGTCTGCACACCGATCACAGACAAACAAGAGCATTTGAACCATCTACGTCTGGTCAAATGTAGCACGTGTGCGTAATCAGCAGCACGCACACGAGCCCGAGAGGCGTTAAAGTCACATAAGAGAGCCTGCAGCAACCGGCGTTGCTCTATGATGATGGGGCATAGCAGTTCCTGCATGCGACGTCGCTGCTCCTGCATCAGGGGAGCGCTGAGATACACCGAAAATTTTATGTACTACACACATATTTGCATAGATCTATGTTTCCACGATATTAAAGGCTAGGTCTGGCTAGAGCAGCCTGCCTATCTGCGCGTGTGCGTATTTCCCCTGTGTCAAGCTTCATAGATAAGGCTGCTTACCGGTTGGCTTGTTCCTGCCACAGGGCCCACTTCTGGTGTTGCAACTTCCGGAGGTTGTACGCAGCAGCTAGTGCTAACCAAAGCATCCAGGGCAAGGTGAGGACCATGACAAAGCTGATCCAGCATCCGAAGAAGGTGAAGAGCTGAGGAATGAAAAGACTGCCGATCCAGATGACAAAGAAGCCTATGCCTATAGTGGAAATAAGAATAGGCAGCCAGCGTTCTGTTGATCTATATAGCAGCCAGACCAGCACTTCAAAGCCCGTGAGGATCAAATAACCCAAGGCAAAAGCAATAGCCACACCAGCCGTGTACACCATCGCATCAGGAGATACGAAACGAACACACAGCAGGTAGCGATAATTGTCAAGAATCTCATCCATCACGTCCTCGATCCGGTTCTCTGCTATCTCCTTGAACTTCACGCAGACATTGGTGGGATTGGAGTAGAAATCAAAAAAGTGATGGTGGTTCTTCAACCCAAAACAATCGCTTTCCCACAAAACGCATTGTAGGTACAGCTGGAGGGGGCCCCGGCGCTGCGAAAAGTCAATGGCCTTGTATGTCAAAACGCAGTACTGCCAAACAAAGCAAAACATAACCAAAAGAGAGGCCCTGACCATCCAAATATAAAGCATACGGACCTTGTGGGCCTGCCTTCCCGATGTGATGTCGACATCAAAGCAATGCATCCTTCGCCTCTCGAGGGTCACCATCCGATAAGCGTGTGGCAGAATAGAGACCGTGCGGGAGATGGAGTACATGATAAACAAACATATTATAAATATAGAACTCAGCACAAGCGTGAGTAGGTTGTACGTCTGAAGAGACCAACCCAAAGGCTGGGGAGAGTACGGAATGTGCGTTGGCATGTCCATCTTGGCCAATAAGTTGAGAATGTTCGTTGTAGACAGTGTGCACTGCCCTTTTGGGGTGGCTGGGGCCCTAGCGTCGCGAGAGCCCTGAGTAACTCGTGCGTACCTCTCCCCTGCGGCTACCGCCTCTACAGAAAAAAAACTAAGCTGCAGGTGTAGCCAACGAGAGAAGGGATGACCCAATCATCGGCTTCGCCATTTCCTCCCAGACCCAAGGCCACTCGATGTGATGGATCTGGGGGTTGCTCCCTGATAAAGTAATGTTGCAGGCACAAAGGTCCCTGCTCGTTGATGGCTGGCTGGCAACTTAGCGCCTCATAGGGAGCTCCTAATGGAGAGTAACCGAGAAGACTACTCAAAATACTGGGGAAGTGGCTCACAATAAGCTGTTGGAAGTATGGCCAAGCCAGGAAAAGGGGTCCCTGCATGCACTGCCGCTGGCGGCCCTGACTCACCAGAGGAAAAGAGGACTCCCCCGATGCAAATATAAGAAGCGATAGAGCCCGACCTTAGTGAGAAACGCCACAGTTTTTCATTTTGTGGTGGTAACAAGGCAAAAACTTTCCCCCATTTGTACAGGAGTGCGGACCCGGAAGCTTAACCCAGGTCTGCAGTAAACAGAGGTTCAGTGAATGCAATTGCTGCAACTCGTGTAAAGCGAATCTCCCGCATTAAATATCTTTTTTTGCTGAGTTTGTACATCATTTTCTGTAGCTCAGGTTGTTCTGGCGTCATCTGACCACGCATGTGTACATCGCAGTGGCAAGTTGTGGCAGGCGCCGCTGGAGTGACAAGTGTGGACAGCGGCATTTCAGACTCACTTTCTACCTCAGACCATTCGTCTCCACTTAATTGTGTCAGATACTTTGTTTTAGAGGCCGCTCGTCGTTTATTTGTATTGGCCCCTACCCAACGAGTAGGAGTGCCCTGGTACAACCATTAAACACCACTGCCTGCACTGTAGCGTTTGGAGAATTTGGCATTTACGATTTGTCTTGAATTTATAGGTTGTTTATTGTGAGCCCGTAAAAATGCGTGAGTACATACTGACTCCTACACGTTCTGCTGACTGTTCGGCAGACAATACCACTCTTATGTACATCGGAGGGACACCTTACGCAAAAGTGGCTCAGTTGCACGAGGCAGTGGGGAGCTCCTAACTTCACAGTTGCACTGTAACGACTTTTTTGTGGGAATAGCACGATTGATCTTCCCGTCCAACAGAGTCCAACAAAGTGGAAACTCTTGGAAATGCCAGACTGTCTCCCTGACGTGTTTGTGACGGAATCAGTGCTTTCCGTCCAGAATTTTAACAGAAACTGTCCGGCGAAAGTGAGAGTAGTTGAGCTGTGTGAGTAACAGCTGAAGGTGACTTGGGGGGAACAGCACGTTCAACGCCTGCGCGGAACGTCGGGAATGGAACCCATGGAGCCACTGTGCCCCCAAAGGAACGGCCGGAACACCTTTGCAGCATTTACTTCATTGGCATTTGCTTGCAACTTCAGTTGACGCATTCGTCAGTTGCCTACCTGGTTTGTTTTGCGAGTCTGAGTCTCCTAACAATGAAGACTTGTGTAGGTTCGTTTCCGGGGAATCGTGGGTATCCTTGGAGTGACTGCATCTCCTAGTTTTGTAAACGCATGATTTCATGGCCAGCACGGAAGGACTGTCAGAAGGGATCCTGAGAAGCTAGAAAGTTCGACGAGTTGTAGAATTCGCGCACAATCTGCACAGGACGATGAGTCCAACTAAACAACATCCTCTTGGAGCGTAGGGAAGTGCAAGAGAAAAAACAGTGCTCAAACCTATTTAGGGATGACATATTAAGGAACATGCGACAGGATATATGTCTTAATAACTATGACCAAACCCAGGTATTTTTCAGCACCCCACAAGTAAATTTGGCTTGAGGTCCGATCATGTGCTTGCCTCGTAGGCTTAAAATTATATTTGGCTCACTTGAGGAGGCCGTCCTAAGGAGCTAAGGATGAAGTTGTTTCCTTCGTGCGGCAGGCTAAGAGCTTACGATTTTGGGCATCAACAGGCAAATACGTATGCACCATTTTGTGAGGCACGATTCCCCCGGGATATTAAGACATATAGCTACGGATGGCATAACGATCCATAACCAGCATGAACCAGCTCTTTCATTGATGAATTTTGCTCTTGGGACACTGAAGCTGGACGGCCTGCGCAAGGGCAGAGCAATGGATGTCCACGACCTCAGCTGATGGTAGTCCAAAGATATGAACTACCGATAACTACAACATAACTGAATTTAAGTTACTTAATGACACTTGAACCCCTCAGCAGAATCCAGGCATCCTGGGCACAACGGCGCTCAAGATCCAGGAATTTGATTCGCCACGCTGTCGGGGTTTGAGCCAAACGCCGGTGACTCGCTTGAGTGGCACCTCTCTGCCTGCAAGTCCTGCTGGCGAATAACACTGAATGCTGTCATATCCAACAGTATTTCTGTGCGTATACCAAGACTGTAGGCAACTTGGGAACATTGCCTCTGTCTTGTATACCGAACCTGCACGCATTCCAGGCATTGCCCCCGACATCTCACACTGCACGCGAGGTTATGCCATGAAGGCGGCACGAAATTTCCCAATAAGGAAGCCTTCAGACTGCATGCCAATATGTATATGTCGCTGTATCCTCTTGAGTAATGATTATTATCTAGAATTGCATGTATCAATACGGACGACTGCGCCTGCCTCTCATGCGACCCGTCAATACTTGTGAGTATTTTTGAGGCGGAGAATCCCTATAAGTGGTTTACGCCAGAAGAAAGCAGTATATACGCCGGTCTAAAGGAATGATAAGTGGTCGGGTAGGCTAAACGAGACCCTAGTGGAAATGTTCCCCTTACTTATTCCAGCTGATGCTTAGGAACTCCGTCAGGGCTTACCCTTGAGAAACAGCCTTTGTATCAACTCTTGAAACACAGTATCAAACTTATTTTAAGTGTGTACGACGGTCAAATGAGGCTACTGAAGCAGATCTAGACGATTCAATGCTCCGAGTCTACCAACCGCCCGCTGGCCAAGAATTAACAAAGTACGGTAAACTCCTAGGTGCTAATTGGAGGCGAGAAGCTCAATGACCCGAAGTTTGTACATACGTGTAAAAATCAAAACAGGGGGCTGATTTTTTGACATAACAGCACTGGCTTCACGAGCGCTCCACCGCGGCTCCCGCAACAGTCACAGTGCAGCATGCCCAGCTGCAGTACGTAGAGCTCTTAGTAGTTCAACCTGGTGCACACTCAATACCTACAAGCTAGACTCAGCTAATCTCTGCTAATGCCACTTGAATAAGGAAATAATCGCTCTTAAACATATTCGAGTCCATATTATCGAGGGAAAACCCAGAATAATAGAACTGATCGGCTGCCCCCCGGGAGAGGGTCTGAGCCAAGGCGTTAGCCTCACGCTCAGCCCTGGGTCTCCTGTAGGCGGACGTGCACTCTTACCTCATTTGACCCCTTTTCTATCTAAAGAGTTCCAATATATAAGTATTTATATTTCTGATTGTTCCATTTCGTGAAACTAGACAATTAAGGTTACCACATGCGCTCTATTGTAGTGCGCGTGCACTGCAGTGCCTTGTCTGGTCCACAGGGGCGTTGCAGCATCCGCCAGCAGTTGCCCTCACCTTAAATGTAATGAGTCTTTTTAACGCATACTTCTCAAAATTCAACTCACACTCAAAACTACGAGTGTCACACGCTCATGCTCCCATGTGGTGGAGCCCTTTCTGTCTGATCTTCATGGTCACTGGACCTCGGCGGACATGCAGAAGAGTGTCCAACCGTAACTAGGCCAACCGAACACTTCCGTTCACGCATTCCACAAATATAGCATATTTATGCCTTCAACTAGGACCAGTAGGGCAATACGCACCACATGGCGCAATCCTAAACCCATCCAGTGTCTCCTTCCAGCTAACTTGCTATTGCCGTGCCGTTGCTGTCCCATCGAACCTAGGGCTGAGGTTCACAATGTTTTCAGCTGCTTCGCAGCCGTGCAAAGAGCTCAGGGTGGGCCTGGCTAGCGACATATACACCCTTAACGATGCTGCGGAGGAGCGGTTGGCGGCGCAGGAGGCCTTGGCTGGAGCACATGACGGGCCTCTGACGGCCTACGAGGCTGCGCTTAAGATCCAAGAACAGTACATGGTGAAAGATGAGGCTCAAGAGGCTGCAGATAGGCAGAAAGAGGAGGAACGGAGGGGTATGAGGGAGCGAAGGGAAACCGACGAGATACTCACTTTGCAGCAGATGCTCCCGGACCTGCTGCAAGCAGGAAGGCTGAAGGAGGCGGAAGGGGCCATCTGCTGTTTCCTTGACAGGAACCCCCACAGCGCTGATGGGTTCGTGCTTCTCGCAGAGACCTACTGCCATCAACGCAATCAAATGGGGGCCCTCTCAGCAATCTGGGGCGCTATCCACAACTGCCCTGGAAACCGCCGGCTCCTGCGCCTGTTATCGCAGTATGAGGAGGCCTTTCTCATGCAGTGCTGCGAGTTGCCTCTAGAATTCAAGATCAAGGCCCTCCAGGTGTCTGAGGTAGAAGCCTCTGCAGGGGCGACCGACGCTGTCGGCCCCATGGAGACCGTATTGCGCCCTCAGGAGGCGCCCGTAACAATCGCGAAACAAGGAAAGCACATGGTTGCCTTTGCCAACAGGAGTCTGAGCCCTGGTGATTTGATATTTAGGGAGAAGCCGTTTGTATGCACTCCTGTGGTATTGGAAAGCGGCCAGGTGTTCAGCAGCTGTTTTCACTGCCTGCAGGAGCGAGGCGACCCGAGTCAGGCCTTCTCCTGCCCCGTCTCTCCTAACACCTGTCCCTTTGTGTTCTGCTCCTGGAAGTGCCTCATGGCGAGCGCCCGCGTACACTCCGTCGAATGTGCCTGCATGCCCTTGATATTCGCAGCTGCCAAGGAGTCCGGCATGTCGGTGACATATGTGTTGCATCTCTTTCGAGTTCTGACAAAGGCCTCTCTGCAGCGGCAGGCGCAGCTCCGGGGGGACATCATCGGGGGGGATAAAACATTTCTCGGAGACATTTCCAGCCAGCTTTTCAGCTTAAATTCCTTCGAAGCCGAAGTGCGCAAAGGCCAGCCTGAGCTTCTCAAGAAGCTGCAACTGCTAACGCGCCGCCTGCAGCAAAGTATACAACCCAACATGCTGTTGTATCTCAAAGACGACGAATTGCTTCACGTTGCACTCGTGGTCTTACAGTACTCCCCGTTCATCTCCGCCACCTCTGCAGCAGCAGCAGTGCAGAGGAGAGCCCCTGACGCCACTCTCGGTCATGTCTTTGCCCCTGCGGCTGCGTTGCTGCACCACAGCTGCGTGCCCACAGCGACGGTGACGCTGGACGAGGACGGCCAGCTAGCTGTGCGAGCCTTGACGCAGATTCCTGCAGGAGGCTACATTTGTGTTTCTGCAGAGGAGGACCTGTTCAAGGCACAGAAGGACCGCAAAGCTGTCGAGGCCCTCCCCCGAGTGTTTGGGTGTGGCTGCATACGCTGCAGTAAAAACGACGAAGGTGGGCGTCTCCTGAGGGGCATCAGATGTTTCAAATGCCTTCGGGGCTTCCTCTGCCCCGCAAAGGACCGGGGGATACTCGCTCGCCTTAAGGCCTACGGTGAGGTGGGCCTCTTGCCGGCAGCCTCGCCCTCCAGCGAAGTCACCGCTCATGAAACACCTGGAGAGAACCACCCACGAGCAAAGGGCTTGGAGAAGCCTAGAAAACGTGCGACCTCCCACTCCGCAAAAAACTCTCAGGTTGGGCAGAAACCCGATGCTGTGCCGCTGGAAGAGCAGTGGCTGTGTAGGTGCTGCGGGCTGACTGGACCGCAAGCCTCGAAGGTATGCGGAGATACGGAAAAAGATATTAAAGAGAGACAGGAAAAAGCCGATGCCTACCTGCTCCAGGGAGCAAAACAGCTCGCTGCGCGCTGCTACAGCGACCTTGTGGAACTCTACGGCAGCAAACTACACCCCCAACATTCCGTCCTCTTCAACGCACACACTATTCTTGCAGGCCTTCTGGCAGAGCAAGGCGGCAAGGACTTGCCTCGGGTGCGCCTTTGTGTCTCCAGTCCCTACGGGCATACAAAGGCGTGGTGGAGGCTGGACCCTGTGGAACGGTGCCTGCATATCACAGCAACAGGCCTCTCCTCACTTGGCTAGCTCAGCATTGACCAGAGTATTCTGCCTTCCACGCCAGTCTCAACGGCTGCCAGTTCTCCGGGCAGTTCCTTGCTGCCATTTGGGTGATGCGTATCCCTGTCTTCGGCTCTCTGCAGGCCCTCATAGTCCTCAGGCGTGCCGGTATGGCTGCGGAGACGGTCTTGCCAGCCACCTCCATGGTCAAAGTACATTTGTATTTGAAACTCGCAGAGCTCACTTACAGGGTTTGTCTCTCGACACCACAAAAAACACAACACACTATGCACACTGCTGCCTTTGCTGTTGAAGGCTGTGTCTCTTCCCTGCTGCACGCGTGCTCTGGGCCTTCTCTTTTGTCTCCTGGACAATACCTTTTTTCTTGCCTCACGAGAAGCGGCAGAGCTTCCCACCTTGGCTTGTGTTACCATTGCTGCTGGTGTTGTTGCTGCTGCTGTTATTTGTCTCTGCAGGCGATGCAGCTGGAAAAGCAGTGCCGCCGGGGTCCCTCTGTGCCTCCTGAGAAGATCTTGGAGCCTCTCTTTTGCGCCCTGTGGAATTGTGTGGCCTGCTTGGGGAGAGAGGCGACGCTGTCTGTAGCTGTGGGTCTGCGCCTCCGTCGCTTTGCTGCTCTACTTGGTGTCTCTACCCCCCCGCTTACTCACGTTCCCGTCGTACGCACGGACGAGGTCTTCCTTGCCCTTTATCGGGGGGCAACAAACTCCAGCGCTGCCAGCCCTGAAGTAACAGCCTTCTTCCTCCCTGTTCCCTGCAGAGTCGCAGCCGTCGCTTGCAGCTGGAGCAGTCGTTCATTGTCTCCCAAAACAGCCTATGCTGATGCAGCTAGATTTCATTGTGCTAGATTTCATTGTCCCAGACTGTGAAGAGCCGCTTGCATGTATGTGCAGCTGTTATTCGTGAGCCGTGAGGAGACACATACCGCGGCTCCAAACTGAGTTAATTTCTGCAGCTTTTGTGTTTGCTGCTGCAGCAACTCCGGAAGCTTTTTACGCAGGACCCCATGTCTATAGCTGCGGGCCTGGTCCGACGCGGCTTGCACTTCCCTCTTGCACTGGAGTTGTTTAGGGCCATGAAGGACATTCAGCACCTCCCCACAGGCCTCACCCTTCTGGGCCTCGCTTGCCTCTACGCGCATGACGCTGTCGTCGACGCGTAAGCCCAGTAATGCTGCCATGGCTTCTCTTTATGCTACTGATACCCCGGCTACATCTGTTGCACATGTTTGTAGAGACAGAGGGACAGGGGCAGCCATTGTTGTCCCTGATGTTCCCACTGCATCGCTGGCTCAGTTGGCTGGCCTTTGTCTTCAGGCGACTATCTACTGCATGCTGTTGTGGTGTATGTACAGCTTGCTGAAGATAGGCTACAGCCTTTTTGCCCAGTCATCCCTAGGAATGACTCCCCTGTTGGTGATGTGCGCCGCCCGAGGAGATCGTCTTCCGTGGGGGAAGCACGGGACGTTTTCCGGCCGTCCGTTCTCGGAAACAGCACCTGCGGCAACAGAGACAGAGACAGAAGCAGCACGATTGAAAATATTCCGGCTGATGCTGCAACACTGTGACTCTTTGGATTCCAGAGCGGCTGCGGTAGACCGCCACAGATTATTCGAGAGGAGACAGTCGCCATCCCCGTCTCCAAAGGCCTCAACAGGGCCTGCTGGAGAGACAGGCCAAGCTGGAGACACCGGTACAATGCCCGGCAAGCAGGCGTTAGGGGACAGCAGGAGACGGTTGCTGTTTGCTTTATCGCACAGACTCCTCGGGAGGAGCCAGGCGCTGCACTTTGCGGCCAGCAACGGCAAGACTAGGCTCTGTCGGCAGCTGCTGGCAGCTGGGGCAGAAGTCGACACCGTGAACATCGAAGGCGCCACGCCGCTACACTTGGCCTGCATCTCAGGGTCCCTGGACACTGTGAAATTGCTTCTGGAGCGCGGGGCAGACATTAACGCACCCACATCGGGGGGTGAGACTCCTTTGGTGCTGGCTGCCTATTGGTTACAAGGAGACGTCCTCTCCTGGCTGCTGCAGCAGGGTGCCAACCCCAAGGTGGTGACGAGAGCAGAAGGGTTAACAGTGCTGCATGCAGTGGCCGCAGGAGTGTTGCGACAAACAAGGCCTTTGTTTAGGGGCCTTGCTTGGGAAGGGGACCCCGCTGCAGTCACCCTTGAGGGCGCCACGGCGGAGACAGTTGCCAGGGGGACATACAGCCTCGGGGGCTTCAACGTGAGTTGCCAAGACGCCCCGGTGGATCTACGTATTCCATCTCCTACCCCAGATGACAACGACCTACTTTCTTTCCCGGGGGAGTTAATGCAGAGGGTACACATGGCCCAGAGGATGCTGCTATCTCTAGCGCCTCACTGCGACCCCGGTACGTACAACCGACGCACACGAAGAGGCTTCACGGCTGCAGAGCTCTTGCTGCACTCTTGGGAAGACTTCGAGAGCAGGCGAAATGGACTCCTGAAGCAGGGGGATTTGCGGCTGGCCACCTTAACGCCGGAAGAGAAGGCACAACTGGAGGAGCGCTGGCACTTTGTGCTGCACCAAATCTATGTCTTGAGAGACTTCCTCAAGCCCCATCACACTGGGGGCACTGACGGGGCCAACAGCGGGAACTGCACACCAAGGCCAGAGCAGATCGAAGAGATGGAACGTCAGAAGCTTCTAAATGTTGCCCCTTGGTTGCTACACGACGAAGTCTTACAGGCTACTGAGAAGGCTTCCAGAGGAGCCCCTGTTATGGAGACAACTGTTACCGGCTGATGGCTTGCGCTGTCGGCAAGCCATCAAGTAAACGAGCAAACAGTGCCAGTGCTCTGTTTCCCCTGTGTCTCCTCCCCTGGCCCCTGTCGGCAAGCCATCAAGTAAACGAGCAAGCAGTGCCAGTGCTCTGTTTCCCCTGTGTCTCCTCCCCTGGCCCCTGTCGGCAAGCCATCAAGTAAACGAGCAAACAGTGCCAGTGCTCTGTTTCCCCTGTGTCTCCTCCCCTCTTCTGGCGAGCGAGCAAGCATATGCTGCGTACTAAGGTCAGCCGCAGGCCCTGTGTGCGGCGGAGAGTCGAGTACGGCTTCCAGTAGACCTTTGAATAGGGCTATAAACTTACAAGTCAACTGCCTGGACAAGAGTGTCGCTGCTGGCGCAGGACGACGCAATCCAGATTTACTGAAGTTGCGGTAATAGGAGCAGCGGCACCGGGAAAAACGGACCTCACCAAGGGCTTTCCGAAGGTATGCGCATGCTGTTGCAACGTTGCAGCCGGTCCGTGGTGGGCCGCGCTCAGCTGAGCGCGGCCCACCGTCTGCAACGTTGCAACAGCATGCGGGAGCGCTTTCAAGCTTTCAGCAGGCAGACATGTCAAACGAGCCTATCATCCATCATATTGAAATGCGAGGGCCAGCGAAGTTGGGGCTCGCATACTTGTGACCTAGACACTTGCATTTTTTTTGGATTTAACCCGTCTGCTGGGGGGCCTCCCCTTCTACACTGTAACAGAACAGGCAGTGCCGGCCCACCAGTTCAGCGGCCTATTCCACCCCCAAGAGGAGGCTGAGGTGTCTAGCATGCGAGGTAATGTGGTGTTGGATGTGCTGCACCACAGCAATTAGGCTGTGCCCGCTTTTGCTCTGGGTCCTCAAGGGCCGGACCCTTGACCGCTCCGTGACCGCTGGTCAGGGCCCGGTGGTGAGTCTCCTAGAGACCTTCTGACGTGAAGGCGTATGTTAAAATAGTCTCTGAACAACCAGAGTACTCTTACCCTTGTGCCGCCGTCATTCCCAGCCTCAGACTCAAGTGCTCCCTTCCTAATAGCAAGTGGCTCAGGTCTCTGGAGGGCTAGCAGAGGGTAATGCTGCCAAAAAGTCTTCTACCTAAATGTTTTCTAACTGATATTTACGTTTGAATTTATTTATTTTAACTCTGCTCTCACTGTTTTTAGTTTGCTTGATGTTCTCTGAAGGGCACAGGGCCTCGTGGGCCCCCGAGGACCTTGGGGGCCCCCACCGAGCCCTCCTGCAGCAGTAGAAACCCCTATCAAAGACTGCATCTAAGCTCAAAATGTAGGTACAATAAAGTCAGTTAAGTAATTGCTGAGTCGTAGGGTCTATGTTATGCTGGTGTTGGTGTAAGGGGAAGGTGGTCATGCGGGGTCCCCTTACCCTGAGAGGTTGGGGTCTCGGGTGTGCGGACGACGAATTCTTCCTTAGGATTTAGAGGAACGGAAGACCTCTTATTTAGGGCCACTACGGCCCATCTAATGCCCATGGGGCACCCCCAAGCTGCTGCTGCAGGTGGCGGTTTGCTGCTAACATATGGCCGCCGGTGGTTCTCAAGCTCGGTGATTGTGAGCGGACGCCACTTCCTCGCGATTAGCTCTGCTTCAGCCATGAAAAGTCAAGATATATGATGTTGCAATCCGCACGTGGGGGCTTTCGGGCATTTGGGGCTCCAGGGTTTGGGGCGTCAGGACAAAGATACTTGAGGGTCTGTGGTTTGGAGGGTTGTGCGCAGGGCCGGCAAGCTCGGGCTGTTCCATGGGAACCACGGGAGGATCTCCTTCAGGCTAGGAAGGAGCCTCGTTACATGGCAGAGTGCAAAGGTCCACCTTCTTTGATGCTGCTGTTGCTTTTACCGTTGCTCTTGCTGTGGCTGCTGCTGCTGGTGTTGGTGCTGTTGCTGCTTGGTTCTCAGGTACCCAGTTTGGGGGCTAGCGTTGAGCCTTTTGACGCGTAGAGCTATGATGGATGTGGCAGCGTGTTTCAACTTGTACTTCGTGCACGACGTGTTGGGGCTGCATGCAGGGACCCCGCGTATGGAATATGCTGAGAATTTGATTGATGGAGTGCGACTCCGTCCCACCTTTAATCCATATGTCAAGCTCACCAAGGCCAAGAGATATGTCCTCGACAACTGGCCCTCCAGGTAACATCCGGCGGTTGATGTGCACACAACGGCCTTGGCTCTACGGTTTAGGATATTGGTTTTAGCCCAACGCGGCGATTCGCCTCGTATAGGAGCGCTAGAGATGGACATAGCATGATTTATGCTAGAAGTAGAGGCTTTAATTAGCACTGTATCGCATTTATTCCTTCAGCACACTTTCTTATTACGTTAAAACAGCCAGGCCTTGGCGCAGGTCCCCTATTGACACTCTGTTTTTACTCTCCACGCGTTGCCGTTACATCGGGTCAAATTATATGGTTTAGGGTTTAGGATCCTCTGGTTTCAGGAATTGGGCGGACTGGAACCCATACAGCTGTTTCGTCAGGGGTAGTCGGCGGCGATATCACATCCCCAAAGACATTATGCCTTACAAAGACGAGCTTGGAGAATGGCATCCCCCTCGGTACAGCACTCCTCGGAACCAGTAGCCTAGGGTGTAGGGTTCAACACTTTAGGACAATAGTTTCAGGGTTTACGCCTTGGGGTGTAATCGGTTGGCGTTGATGCAGACTTTCTGGCCGCTACAAAGCCGACGTGGAGAAGCAATACCGCCTCAACGGTGGGACAGCAGCTCCGTTTGAATTCGTATCCTAAACCCTACATCATACTTTAAAAGACGGTGCTGTGGCGAGGCAAAATTTTGTGGCGGGTTGGCCGGATAAACTTCAAGATAGTGCGTGATTAAGGGTGTATGCTTTATCAAGGGTTTGCGTTTAGGTCTCGAGTGGGTGTGGGTGAAGAATTTCTACAAGGAGAAGGTGCACCTTCGAGACAGAGAGCCGCTGGGGCCCAAGAGATGGTATATTCGGGAATTCAGGTGAGAGCAGCAGGTGCAAACAGATGCCACACTGATGCCAGAGAGATGGCTCATGAGGAACCCAGAATCTGAGATAGCCACGCTTCACGCATTGCAGAGAGCGGAACACCCGGTATATATACGCTCGAAAGAACCATAGCACTCGCTTGCATAGTACGTGCAGCGAAAAACCCGAAATGTTCCGCTTTAGTCGCTAGCGTCTCGTTGAGGGTTTAGAAAATAAGGTTTTTTCTGTAGGGACGTGAGGCTGACTTCCACAGGCAACAGCAAGTGAAAGAAGCCATGAAGAAGATGGATGATCTCGTTGCGGATTACCGCAAGGTGGGAGATGGGGGTTTCGGTCTGTGGGTTGTGGCTTAGTGTCTACACTTACCGCCTTAGGATTTTGCAACACTACTGGCAGAGGCAATGCGACACCATCACAGCTGCACCACACCGCATTTCTGATATCCAGGTTCGGTGCAGGTACGCAAACTGTTCTTCCGGTTGCTGTTGCTACTGCCGCTGCAGGAGGTGAGGGACAAGCAGCGGTACAACTGGTTTGAGAAGGTGGTTCACGACTTTGCTGGCGAGCAGCTGTCGTCAGAGTACCTCCGCAGCCGGAAGGAGCCCAAGATGTAGCTGCGACGGTTCTCTCGCAGGGCTTCGAGCTTGCCTGTTCTGGAGCCCTTAGGTTCGGCAGTTGAGCCACCTGCGCCGAAAGTTGGTTTATTGGAGGAAAAAATGGTTTAAGAGGTGCATGTCTGCTGTGTTTAGTGAGGGGGGCGTAGGCACCAGTCAGACGCAGAGACAGGGCTGGAGACTCCAATCAGGGGCTCGCTCTCCCGACCCGTTAACTCAAAGCAGACAGACAGATGTGGCTTTAGCTGAAAGGCAAGTTGGTGCCTAGGATGCATGGAATAGTCTCCGTTCTGGATAGTGTTTCTCTACACGGCGCCTTCAGGGAGAAGGGATGGGACAGAGAGACTGCAGACAGATGATGGTGCTTGTGCATCATCATGTGCCGCTTAACTCATGTATTCGAAGGGGAGGCCATTAATATACATGAGTGAAGCGGCTCTCTTGCTTGAGGAGTGTAGCTGCACACTACACTTTACTTGATTGAACGGAAGCGCTATTAATGCAAGCCACTGCCAAGAGCTACAGAAGCTGCAGGTAGCATGAAAAAGCGTGTCGTCTTTTTCTCTGGCGTTCAGGGGGATTGCATCAACCTCCCTGTCGCTGCCACTACCAGCGGACAAAGGAGATGTACATTCACATACGGCACTCCGCTCACTACGAACTATTTCATTTTCTGCTGTCTCTGACGGCATCTAGCTGCTGTCTTCTGGCGCGTGTCCTTTCCTCTGAGGTGTGGCTGGTATGGGCGGACTGTCCTTTCTCCCGTGTTGACTTAGGTGTTTCCAGAGCATCACTGGATATCCCCTGCGCTTCCTTTGTGGCATACGTTTTCCCGCATTTAAGCTTAAATGCTAAATCTTGTAAATTCATGAGACTCCCTGCATCCCGCTCCTGTACCAGCTGTGTCCCTGGCGCTTAGCAATTTCGTTGGGGCGCCGGCCATTTCGAGGCAGGAGCAGACTCATGGGGAACTGCTTTCTTTAGCAGCCTCACAGCGTTACTGTATGGATCTGTCTGCTGAAGAAAGGCCCAGCGGGGTATACCACCACTTGGGCCTGAGTGGCAGGCGGTACATAGCATCAAGATAGCACTGTCTCCTGCTGCCAGATGTCTCCTCTCCACAAGGCTGCACGGAGGGCCCGCAAGTGCTCACAGACCCTGAGCTGTCTTTTATTTCGGCCTGCCTCTCTGCAGCCGACCCGCTCTCTCTTAAGGGGGGAGAGACAGTCTCTTGATTTATCCTGTTGGTGCTGGTAATGCTGTTGCTGCTGGTGCGACTGGTGCTGTTGTGGCTGCCACAGCTGCTCTCCGCTGTTGTCAGGGGGGTGGTCGGGCTGCGAAGCGGGTCCCCAGCAGGGGGCTTCTGCGGGCTTACTGTAGCACTTTTTTCCCCTGTCTCCTCAGCCGCCCCAGTCTGCAGCAGGAAATGGTGGCAATGAGCAGTTCGGGGTCTTTGCTCCCGTATAAAGTCCCCCGGTTGCGCGATATTGTTGCCTGCATTAGGTGCATCTACCTGCTGCAGGGCCTCGTGGTGGGCCTTCTGCTGCGCCTGCTGCTGCAAAATCGACCAGGGCTGTGGCTGTTGCTGTGGAGGGTGCGGGACGCCACTAGTTAGAGGGAATTGCAGCAGCTGCCGCTGCGTGGGTTGGTCTGTTTGCTCCTGAAGCAGCTGTCTCTGCTGCTTTGCTGATTCGGCATGTTGTGTATCTCTCCCAAGCTGCAGTGGCCCGAATTTCTTCTTTGGGTTCGGTTCGGGCTGCAGCGCCTTCTGCACCGGCTGCTGCAGTGGCTGTTGCAGTGGCAGTTGCAGCAGCCATGGCTGCTCGGTGGAATACAGCAGAGGGATACGCAGGCTTGGCTGTTTCCCAGCCTTGTGTTCCTGCGAGCCCTGCTGGTGCTCTAAATCTTCAGGAGAGCTTTGCAGCTGCGCCTTCTGCACCGCCATCTGCTGCAGTAACAGTGCATCCGCTAAGAGGTGTTGGCTGGATGGTGGCCGGTGGATGGACGGTCGTCTTAGCTGCTCTTCCAACAGCAGGTGCTGCCGCTTCTGCGCCCGCTGCAACTGCAGCTGCTGCAGAGGCACCTGCTGCAGCAGGAGGAGACTCTGCCCGCCTTTAATGTGGTGGTGATGCGCAGCAGGAGGCTGCAAGGGGCCCTCCTGGGGAGTGTGCTTCGTCATCTGTTGCTGCGGCTGCACAGGTCCATCTGCGACAGGCAATATCTCGTGTTGCTGCTGGTGCAGCTGCTGGTGCTGCTGCAGGGCATGCTGGCGCTGCTGCTTCTGAACGAATTGCTTCCCCATCTGCAGATGCTGCACCGCTGCCAGCGGCTGTGGCTGGCCCTGTCTCTGCAGCCGGGGAAGCAGTTGCTGCTGCAGGAGTGTTTGATGTTGGTTAGAAGCGCTCGTACGATCTCCTAGGTGTGTGTCAACAAAACGTTGGTGCAGCGAGGGCTGACAGGGCAGGGATTGCTGGTGGTGTTGGTGTTGGTGGTGGTTATGTTGTTGCTGTTGCTGCTGCTGCTGCCTATTGGTCGCAGAACCGCACGCATGCTCGGCCTGTGAGACATCCACAGGGCTAGCAGTCCTAGGGCAGACGCAGTTTTCGGCTCCGTTGTTCTCCAGCGGAAGATTCAAGTGCACATTGCAGCTGCTGCAGAGCCCGTCTCCTGCTGCTGCTGTTGCTCTTGCAGGTGTTCCTGCTTCCTCGCTAACGTCTTCTGCGTCTTTGGTGCGTGGCACCCCCCCGCCGGGAGAGCAGCACGAGGCGCCTTCCAGTGCACTCAACGTTTCGAGACTGCAGCAGCAGACATCCCGGAGGCTCTGCAGCACCACAGCGGCATGACTTAGGAGGTCATGCAAACGAGTGTGCAGGGCAAACAGATGTTTCACTCTCCGCAGCTGACGCTGCCTTGCCAGATGCTGCTGTTGGTGCTGCGGGTGCTGCTGCAGTTGCTGCAGTTGCTGCAGATGCATCGATTCGGGTCTACTTCGAGCGTTCTGCGGGATGGAGGGCCCTCCTGCCTTCAGTAATGAGACTACCGCCTCCTGAGCTGTTTCTGCTGAGGCAGGCTTCGATGCAGCACGGCAAGGCATTGCAACACCTGCACCTCCGCTCTGGGGCGCTAGAACCAACTCTGCCTTCCCTTGAGGGCCCAAGGGAACAGCATGTGGAGACTTTCGCTGCTGCTGCAACCAAGCAGGCCTCGCCAGAGGATCTCTTGGGAAGGCAGGAGAAACGCAGCAAGTTCGAAGGCCTTTCGAGCTACAGGGGGGCTGTGTCTGCCACTCATCGCTTCCGCCTGCTGTAGAGGCACCGCCACACACGGGGGAACACCGGCTCCCTACGGCCGGACGCATTACCCAGGCGGAAGGAGAACGACGATTCAGTGATGCTCCAGACATTGGAGACAGTCGAGACATTGGAGAAACTGGAGAAGCCGCGGACCTTGACGAAATATCCTGGAAACACGATCCTGGATGTGGGAACCCACCTCGGTGCTCTTGCCTATGCAGCATCTGCTGCTCATGCTGCAGCAGTAGATGTTGCCTCTGGTGCTGCATCGGATGCTGCCTAGGCAGCTGATGCGCTGGCACTTGCAACTTCTGAGATGGGTGCTCCTGGTGTTGACTGTATTCCTGCTGCTGCAACGACGCTCGTTGCAGGCGTTGCTGAGGCTGCTGCTGGAGCTGCTCTTCCTGCTGCCACTGCGGACACTGGTGGTTCTGGGGAGGTCCAATGCGGCTCTGGTGTGGGTGCGGCTGCGACGGATGAAGGGCTTTGTTCTTCTGTTGCAGTAGGGGCTGCAGCAGTGGCTGCAGCCGCACCAGCTGTTGCTGCTGTACTCCCACCTGCTGCTGCTCAGTGTGCTGCATCAGCGGAGCTTCCGCTTCGTTGCCTCTAGACTGTGATGGCTCTTCGTGCGGCTGGTGATGCAGCGGGGCCTTCTTAACCAACGCAGTCTCTTCTGCCCTAGGAGAGGCAAAATGGAGGCAAGACCACCTGCTGCCGGCTGCTCGCGAGTCCCCGTGTGCTGCTGCAGCGACTACTGAAGGGAGCTCGGGTCTCTGAGGGCGTCCCTGCCTCCTTACCGGGCCCTCCGAAACCTCCACCAATGCAGGTGAGACCTGCGCGAGATCGCCCCGTTCGCACTGGTTAGGGGGGATCTGTCCTGCTGCAGGAGCATTAAGACGGGTCTCTAAGAAAGCCCCACTGGCCCTTTGGCCTGCGTTGCCTGCGGCATGCACTGTGTGCATGTTCTCCTGCATCTGGTGCTGAGACGAGTTAGGCCTCCCCTCTAGAAAAGTCTCCCTGTGGCCTCCGTGAGTGTTCGATCCGCGCTCTTGTACATTATCTCTAGAGTCGTCAGAAGATGAGGCACCGCAAGGTTGCTGCTGGGCGGGGCGAACGCTGACGGGAGCCAGAGGCATGGCCGCAGCCGTGCTGCTTCCTCTGCAAGGAGGCCGGGGCTCTCTTGCACAGACACTGGCAGGTGCAGCTGCTGCAAAGGGAACGGAATGCGCTACCTTGCTGTTACTGCTGCTGGTATTTCGCGTACTACTGCATCTATCTACCCAGTGGAGCTCCGCGGGGCCGGGACCTTTGCCAGCAAACTGCTGCAGCAGCGGCACAGCTTTCCCTGCTGCGGCAACAGCACCATCTTCACCTCCACCTAATTCAGGGCCCTGCGGACTCTGGGGGACCTGCTCCTTTCTCGCGGATGGTTGTCCCTGTCGTGCGTGTTTGAAGTCCCCTGCTTTAAGTGGAGCTGCTGCAGCAGCGGCAGAAGCAGTGGCAGTTCCTGCTGCGTCTGTGCTGCAGCTCCGGGCTCTTGCACCCGCGAACCGCTCACCGGCAGGAGCGGAGATAGCAGTGTTCCTACCGCATGGTACTTTGCGGATTGCACTTGAAGAGACAGTCAACGTGCGCCTCCTTAACAACTTCCCTAGCATTCGGCGTCGCAGCGAGGAAACAGAGCCTGCTCCATTGCTCCTGCCCCAAAGCTTAACTGCGGTGGTCTTTCTCTGTTTGACGCTCCTGCACGGGCTGCTGCTGTTGCTGTTGCTTGGGCTGTTGCTACTGTTTTCGCTTCTGCTGCTGGGGCTGTTGATGCTGCGACTGCTCCCGCTGAGGATGCCACTGCAACTGTCGCTGCTGCGGCGGCTGCGAGAGCTTCCCGTTCCGTCGCTGCTACTGCTGTCAGTAAAGCAACTGCTTCTGCTGCTGCATGCACTGAGACCTGTTGTGGGTGCAAGCTTTCTAGGTTGGGCAAGCTGTGGGATCGCCCGCTTGTCTATCCCTGACAGGCCAGCTGCCTTCTGATCTTGTTTCTGGGAGCGGTGTAACTGCGGCTGCAGCTGCTGCTCGCTGTGTTGCTCCAGCAGTTGCCGTCTCTTTTTGGCGGGAGGCATTTCGCTCTGGCCTGCCCGCCCCGCCCGTCTCGGCGCCTGTCTCAGCAGCAACTCAGCAGCTGCAGCAACAACCGGGGCACGAGGTTCAGAAGTTGCAGCGGCTGCACCACGCAAGACAATAAAACCGCTGCTAGATTTTCTTGGAGGCGCATTAGCACTTCTTTCTGCTGCAGCGCCTGCAACCTTGTTAACTATTGCCACGGGAGGAGAAACTGTAGTGTCACCTCCCTCCGCCGTCTCGCTTGAAATCGAATCTGTTGCATTTGCTGTTGCTCTTGCTGGTGCCTTTGCCGTAGCCACTGTTGCTGAGCTTCTTGTTGCTCCCTTGGGAGCTGCTACCGCAGAAGCCGCTTTTGTTGTTGTTCCCGTTTCTCTTGCTACTGTTGCTGTTGCTGCCGGTCGTGTTTGGGATTTCTTCGGCACTGAGCCTGCAGACGGTGCTGGTAGAGCTGCTGCAGGTTGCAGAGACTTGTGCTTTGCTCCTTCAGCAGCGCTATTCTTATTGCCTGATAGACCATGCGGCTCTGCATGTGCCGCAGCAGCAGCTGCAAGTAGTGCAGCAGCAGGTCTAAGGAGGGAGGCTTGTATTCCTGCTGTTTGCTTTGCTGCTCCAGAGAGGCCCCTTGAAGGTGCTGGAGGCCCCTGTAACTTCCCCTCTACTGAAGGGCCCCCCAGTGCAACCGTGCAGCTGCTGCTGGCGCTGTGGGGCTGTTGCTGCACAACAGCTGCTGGTGACTCCTCCTGCACAGGTGGTGGGGATCGCATCGCAAATACAGAAGCCGAATGTGCAGCAGGCTGCCCCCGTGCTCTTGGTGTTGCAACAACAGCAACAGCAGCAGCTGGTGTTCCTGCTGCGCCCACCAATCGCGTCTGCTTCTGTTGTTGATGCCGCTGCCGCCAAAGAATATCCATTAGGTGGCATGGTTCAGCAGTCTCCCTAGTCTCCACAGTATGCGACAGGGGCTCGGCAATGGGGATGCGGTTGTTTGGCTGCCGCTGATGCTGCGGTACCTGCTGCTGTGGCTGCTGATGCAGTTCAGCATGCCGTTGCACCCGAAGCTGCTGTTGCTGCTGCTGCCGCTGCTCCAGCAGCGGTTTTTGTGCTTCTTGTGAATTTGTTGCTTCGGCAGCCTGGCGGGCCAGAGCCTCTTGGATGGAGGAAGACAGCTGGTTATGCAGGACAGAAATTCCCTCTCGTGCTGCTGCTGCTACTGCTTCTGCAGTGGTGGAGCTGGAATCTCCTGTGGCATATGTAGGCCGTTGGGGTTGTTGCGCGTTTGGTTCTGGTATCGGGGAACGGGTAGTAGATGGATCGCTGGACTCTGACTCGGAGAGGGATATCTCGCGGCTTAGGGTGGAATGAGACTCAGGAGACCCATAACAAGGTACTCTTCCTTCATCCGCAGCTGGCTGGCCACCATCCACCCCTGAAGGGGGTTCGTATTGCTGTTCATTCAAATCCTGCTGTCGCAGCTGTTGCTGCTGTTGCGGCTGCTTTTGTTGATGCTGTTGCTTTTGGTGCTGTTGCTGTTGCTCAGGCTGTTGCTGCTGCTCATGCTGTTGCTGCTGGTCCTGACTGTGCTGCTGCTCATAATGCCCAATGGAGCATGACTCGTTTTGCTGTACCAGCTGCCTTAGCTCGCTTCTCTGTTGTTCTGCTGCTTCCAGCAGCAACTCTACTTGGTCCCCTGCGGGCTTCTCGCTCTGGTGCTGTTCTTCTGGCGTATGCAGCTGCTGCAGCCCCTGCGTGCCCTGTTGCTGAACTGGAAACCCCTGCTGCTGCTCCGTGAGAAACACCATCAGCGCTGGCTGCCCCTGTCCTCTTTGTTGCCACCGCTGTTGCTGCTGCATAGGTGCTTCGTTGGGCCTATGTATCTCGCGAGTTTGCGTCTGCTGCTCACGCACCTCTTGCTGCTGAGAGACATTTCTGTAGTGCGGCGTGTGCTGAACAGACCCATTTCCTACCTCCCGGAGCAGCAGCAGCTGCTGCTGAGACTCAAGTCCGTCCTGCTGGTGGTGGTGGTGCTCCTGGTACTCCTGTTCCCCCTGGTGTTCCTTTTGCTGATGGTGCTGCTGGCTCTGTGGAGGCTTTTCTAGCGCATTCTGCTGTTTCTCCTGCACTTGTTGAGGGTGTGAAGAATTTGGTGGTTGGATTTCGTTGTGTGTTTGTTGCTTGTCGTTTGCAGTGGCTTCCTGCGGTAGCGGGCAGTCTTGTTGCTGGCGCTGCTGCTGCTGCTGCTGCTGCTGCACTTGCAGCTGTTTCTGCTTTTGCTGCTGGTTTTGCTGAAGGTTTTCACTCTCTTGTGGGACTACAGGGGGTATTGCCGGTGGTACTAGTGGGAGAACCATCTCTGGGGGGGAGTCCACGGAAGGTCGTGGAAGGTGAGGAGGGGCCCCTGTCTCGCGTACTTCTGCAGGGTTGGGGGGCTCGACTGAGGGAGACGAGTAACCTGAGAGCCCTTGGGGCTGCTGGAGAGCTGCAGATTGGAGAGGAGACATCTGGGTTGCGTTTTCTTTCTGCTGTGGCGGGATACATCGCCTCGTTGTTCCGTGTCCTACTTCCTGGGGATGAAGGGGGATAGAAGAAGGATAATTAGTTGAAAATAACCAAAAAGAACAACTGTTTCAGACACAACAGCGCAACAGCAGAATGATCTCGTCCAAGTGACCTTCGGTAGCAGGCCGATCCCACGATGGCCTCCTCCCGTCCACAGGCCCATTGCAGCCCCGCGAACCCCAACGAAAAAACCCAACAAGCTGTTTCTTTGTTCAATGCTGCGAAATATACAACAAGGAGAGGGCATTAGGGCGTAGAAGAGGGGGAGAAAGGGGGTTATCTGCATATTAGCGGGCCTGCTGCTCGCGGTCGGGTGGCTGGGGTGGGCAGGCACCTCATGAGCCATGAGAAGGTATTTGTGGAACAGGTGGATCTTGAGTTTATTAATAGTATATATTTAAGATGTATGTGGACATTTGAACGGTACGCGTAGCCAACGGCACCAACCAATTAATTAGCAGAGCAGGCCTAACCTGAAGCCAGCTGTTGCTGTTGCTGCAGCTGTAGCTGCTGCGGTGTGTCTGCTGTTTGCAGAAACCATTTCGCCAGCCGAGACACCTAGTTGTGTCTCTGCCCCTCTCTTTGCCCGTCTCCATATCTGGAGGGATCGTGTACGTGCCGTCAGCACCCCACAGGTTACCTCCGTCTCGCCCCCCCACCCCACTCCCTTTCTCTGACGACAGCACCACATAGGGAACGGCCGCTTCTCTCCAACTTTTTCTTAACTGTGCTCTGTACTCTTCTGTCTCCTACAAGGGACCAGGCCCGCAGACTATCCTGACTGCGGTAGCCCCAGGTGCTGCGGAATACTAATGTATACAGCCGGTGTATAATAATCCATTTAAACGCAATAAAAAAGGGTACACCTGGAATGCAGAGTTCATCGTCACAGGATCCAGCTGCAGCAGCTAAGGAGACACTACAACAGAGGAGACCCGGAAATCGGGCAGGGTTCCATACCAGCTAGAGGGTCCAGAAACAGCGCAGAGCACTCAAGGGAGCTGCCGTCTACATCTGCCCAAGCAACTAGCTCCAGCACCAGCAGCACGTCTAGCAGATACCTGCCTGAATTAAAAGGCGTTGGCGATAACAGCATAGAGGCGCTTGGCTAGCGGCCTTCAGGCAGTAGAGCTATAGGCAGCCTTGCTACAGAGTTGCAGCATATCCAGTGATCCCAGGACGAGACTCTGTCTCCCTAAGGCTTGCTGCTGATGAAGCAAATCCCCTCTTTAGCAGAGAAAACTGTCTCCTGCTGTTGATCTTCCGCCCCCTCACAGGGGACACGTCAGGCATTTCAGATCCCACAAGGACCATCAACGACTGCTGCGTTCCATAGAAACAGCGAGTAAGGCCTTTGGCAAGCGTTCGTTGGCAACGGGCTCAGCAATACCATCTCCTACAGCTCGAAGGCCTTATGGAATGCATGCAGGTCATAACCTGCAAGCAGGTGAGCTAAGCACACCGCTCAGATGCACACTTTGGATGAGCGCGCCAGACGGAGACAAGCTAAGAGTGGCTAGCCGCAGGTAGAACTAGCTAGCGGGGCGCTGGTGTAAATTCGCGCACCAAAGCCCTTAGGCCCACAGAAGGAAGACGACCCGCAGGGAGTCTAAGGCTCTGCGCTGAGGGGTCAAGAATATGTGCAGGTTGGTAAACAGAGCAGAGCAAACGCCTGATCTCATCGAATGATTTCCGTTATCTGCCAAAACATAGTACTTTCCTGACAATTCCTAAACTGCAGCTGATCTCCCTCCTCAGCCTCCAGATTTCCTGAGCGCAGCGACCCACGCGCCTGGCGCTGACAGAGATGAAGCTGCTTGCCATGAGTTTCAATCCACGATGCTGCAACTCAAGATGCAAGACAGCCTGACATACAAACTCAAACAAGCCTTCAGTGGTTCAAGACTGTGCGTTCATTGTTTACTATTACTAATAATTATTTATAAAATATTATTAAGTACTAATTAAAAATTATTAGACGTAAATACTATGATTTGTGTGTGTATGTGTGTATGTGTGTATGTGTGTATGTGTGTATGTGTGTATGTGTGTATGTATGTGTCTGAACAATGTATTCTCGACGACCTCTGTTTGCATTCCGGCTACCTCCTCCGGGGAATCAAGCGTTGGACGGTTAGCACCGGAAAAACTTGATAACTTCGGACAAGCTAATGTGTTTGCTACGTCCCTCCCGAATCATTGGGAAACCTGGGCACAACGGCTGTACGAGTAGCTACAACGCGCGAAGTGGCTTCACAGGAGTTGCAATTCACCTTTCTGCAGCTTAAGACGCTAGGGAGACCCACATACAGCACAAACAAGCATGTAGAGTTGCATGCCCTGAAGCCGTAGACACAGCGTTCGATCCTTTTGCGTGCCTACGGACGACATACTAAGGCCGACTAAGGATCCTTATATCTATTTTAGACATTTGCCAACTTCGCACGGCCTCCGCTACACTGAACGTGCAAGACTTCCACTACACCATCCCACACCTCCCGCTCCTGTGGCTATCGTTGGGGTCTACGGACACTAGCGCGGGGGAAGGGGGGTGGGGGGGA